CATTATAGGATATACTATGACTTTGTGCCAAATACTTGTTGCTGATTTAGAGTACTGGCACCTTTTTTATTCCAATTCAAGCACTGAGTACTAAGTGCACTGCCTTGCGGCCTGTAGCACCATCCTTGATGGAGCATATGTGTGGACAGGAAAGGAGTGAGCAGAGAGTAGAGTAGTTGTCGATTCTTGTTCTGTTTTCTGTGATTATCTTCCTCACCCTCTCAGACTTTCAGTTGCGCGCTACTAAAGAGACGTGTTACCATGGAAACCAAACAATGGTGTAACTGTATTAAAGTCAGAGTGGAAACAGTCCTGAGTAAATCTGATTTTGTCTGAAATCGGGAGAAATCGGGAGAAATATGACCCCGGGAGGAAACCAGGAGAGGGCAATGAAATCGGGAGTCTCCCGCGAAAATCGGGAGGGTTGACAAGTAGCCTATGGGCTTCAGTTTGAACTCACGCCGTATGTCTTTGACTGAAAACATGTCAAACTGCACTGAAATAATACTTTCAGAATCAGAGCAGTGTAACATCAAGGGCCGAACTGGGGGATTTAGGGCGGTTGAAAGGAAAGTTCATAAAAATGCACACACTGCTCCATGAGTCCACGCTCTGACGGGAAGACAGGAGGCGTGACAAGAAACTTTAGGCTTTGCACAGGAAACTTCAAAGTGCTGCGCCCTTTGGACATTACATGTACCTTTAGTTATTTGATTGCCAGGTGCTTGATGAATTGCTGTGGGACGTCTGTACATTAAATATCAGTTGTCTTTTTTATACAGGTAATACCGTGAGATCGATTTAATGTCATTCATCATTTTACAAAGAGAGACTCATGACTCGCAGGGTGCAATACAAAGAAAAGTATGTTTACTATTATTTCAGTGAAGTACAGTATAGCAGTGCAGGTGGACACACAGTAAGGTCAAGCATGGATTTCCAATAGAAAACAGTTGTAGGAGCCTAAAAGGGGGTTTTCTGCTGACCCGTAAATTCCAATATGAGTTTTGTGCTTGCTTTGCTCAAGTTTGAAATGCCAATGTCAATCAGTATTTTACATTGTATTTCAATAACATATTATAAAACATTTTAACTATGTTTTTTGTTAAACAATCACCAGAATGCTACACTTTGGTAAGTAAGCAAGCCCAGTGAGAAAGAGCTTTGAGCTGAGCTGGTAGTACGTTTGTTGATTATTGTATAGTGCTTTTTCAGTGTTGCCTCTCACCTTAACTGACGTAATGATTAATAATTCCCCCGACGATGAAATCGTGTCAATAAAATGTTGCTGCAGGTGAGATATTGATAGGTGCAGTGTGGGAAGCGATGAAGAAAGATTAAAAGAAAGGCGGACTCAAATGTAGGTTTACTAATCTACAAGCAACTCTTTCTGAACTTTTTACATTACTCATCATTTTCGGATACATTTAAATCCCAAGTAAAGAATATTTTGTTCCTGCAGCTTTATTTACGAACCATTAGGTAAATTAAATCGTACCTGTGACTTAAACAAGATGTTGTTCTTTCAGGTTGATGGAAAACTACACCTCCAACAGCCTCACACTCCAGCTGGAGGGTCTAAATGTTTCTAAAGAGTATTTGAACCCTGTCTTTCTGTTTATCTTTTTCTCTTACCTGTTTATAATTGTCACAAATGTGAGCATTGCAATTCTGATTTTCATCGACAAAAACCTTCACCAGCCCATGTATCTACTTTTTTGCAACCTGCCATTTAATGATATTCTTGGAAACTCTATCTTGATACCCCGTCTGCTCATAGACATGTTGAGGCCTCCCTCTGAACGCATCATTAGTTATTATGAATGTGTGCTACAAGCGTTTACCTCACATATGTTTGGGACCACCTCTCACACGGTGCTCATGATTATGGCTTTTGATAGATATGTGGCTATCTGTTATCCTCTGCGCTATGCTGCCATAATGACAAACAAGATGGTGATCAAGCTGACAGTTTCTGCCTGGGGAGTAGCCTTTGTTTTGGTCGGGATTCTGCTCGGTCTGACCATACGCCTGAACCGATGCAGGGCTATGATCACAAATCCTTACTGTGACAATGCTGCTCTGTTTAAACTGTCCTGTGAGAGTGTGTTTATTAATAATGTCTATGGCCTCACTTTCACTGTAGTTCTGTTCACAGCTTCAATTGGCACTATGGTTATCACCTACACTAAGATAACTGTAGTCTGTCTCACCAGTAAGAGCAAGTCTTTGAACAGTAAAGCTCTGAAGACCTGCAGCACTCATCTGGTTCTTTTTCTGATCATGATTTTTAGTGGGATGTCTGTTATTACTCTGCATCGCTTCCCTCAGTACACAAACTACAGAAAATTCACCAGCATTTTGTTTCATATCGTCCCTAGCAGCCTGAACCCCATCATTTATGGTGTGCAGTCAAAAGAGATACGAAAGTTTTTGGCCAACTCCTTTAAGTCCAAGAAGGTTCGGCCATTATGTTAGAGAACATGTTCTACCATGTTTGTCCTTTGTCTATCATCCATTTTTATAGATGATAAATATGCAAAGTCCTTAAATCTTTACGACAAACACCAGTAACTTCTAGAAAAAGGTTTTGACATGAATTGTGGCAATTAAATGCAAACCCACCTATCTTCTCTATTATATGGCAATAGTACATTAAAAAAACATTTTTGTGTAATAATCCTAAAGATTTCACTATTAGTTGCAAGTTCATATACTTTAGAAGAATGAGCAGATACATAAGATGGATACACATAAGTGTATAACCAAGACATTACACTTTGGTTTTCTGTGCTTTATAATGGACACAGAAAGTGTTTGCAAAGTAGTAATGAACAGTTCCATGTATTTTGTGTTCTGTTTTGTTGTGTTCAACACATCATATAATGTGCTACTGAGTTTCTT